TGAAGGCTAGGACTGTAACAGGGTTTAAAAGAGAACTGGATAAATTCATGGAGGTTAAGTCCATTAATGGCTATTAGCCAGGATGGGTAAGGAACAGAGTCCCTAGCCTCTGTTTGTCAGAGGATGGTGATGGACGACAGGAGAGAGATCACTTGATTATTACCTGTTAGGTTCACTCCCTCTTGGGCCCCTGGCATTGGCCACTGTTGGTAGACAGGATACTGGACTAGATTGACCTTTAGTCTGACCCAATATGTCCATTCTTAAGTTCACAGATCTGAAAAGCTATCCATGCACCCCCAGATCTTGCATTTGGCTCTCATTGAAGAATCTGGTGTAAATTCCCTAGTCCTTATCACGTGCAAACTTCTGCCAGTAATTTGAGGTTATGCACGGGTATCTTCAAAAAGAGCAGAATCAAGCCTTTTTGATCTTTGTATCTAATTGGATGGGATCTTATGAAATGTATTCCACAGTACAGCCATTGTAGACTAAAGTTACCCTGCAGATACAAGTGTTTTAGTGTCATTTTTCCAAAAAATATTATAGGTTGGATTTTCAAAAGCATTCAGTGTTGGCCAAAATCTGCTCCCACTAAACCAGTGGTTCTCAAACTTTTGTACAGGTGACCACTTTCACATAGAAAGCCTCTGAGTGTGACACCTCCTTATAAATTAAAATCACTTTTTATATATTTAACACTATTATAAATGCTGGCGGCAAAGCAGGGTTTGAGGTGGAGGCTGACAGCTCGCGACTCCCCCATATACGAACCTTGTGACCCCCTGAGGAATCCCGATCCCCAGTTTGAGAACCCGTGCATTAAACCCAATGGTAAAATGCCAGCTGAATGCTTTTGAAAATTCCACCCTATTTTCCCAGTCCCCCAAATTATACTATATACTTTACTGTATAAAAGAGCAATGCCCTGAAGAACGTTGAGCCTAATTTTACTATTATTTATACTAATGAAAATCCAGAGCAGTTCCTTTGCTTCTGTGAAGTTACTCTAGATCTGGCCAGTGTACAGGAGTGCAGAATTTGGCCGTTACAGTATAATTTTAGATGGGAGCCAGTGAATAGCTATAGCAGAAAGGACAGAAGGGGTGAGGTATGGAGGAATGAGGTCTAGAACAATATAATCATGTGGTTACTCAGTTCAGATATTTGCATATATAAGTGGTTCAAAGTGAAAACAAATATTGGGCCAAATTCTTTCATGGTGCAAATAAGCAAAATTGCATGGTAGTCAATTGATCTGTGCCCATTTCCACTAGTAGAGAATTTAATCTATTGTTTTCACAATATAAGGTACAGTCCTATTCAAATTTTTTAACAACCTTTCTTTTACTTAAGTATTAAATGGAATTGCTAAAAAATGCTCTGCAATATTTTAACTAACTAGTCACCTGATGGAGGTAGCAATACAGTATGTTTGACCATTTTATTCCAGTGTCAAAGGAAGCAAAAAAGAGAGTTTAGGTACATCTTAACAAATAAAAGGGTATGATAAGATTTGGAATGAAAAACTTTACTATTTTTTAAACTCTTGGAACACTGGCATCTTCCAGATTGCCAGCCAATGGAACATTAGGAGGAAAGCATATTAAAAAGATAGTCTCTTCTGCAGAATTTTTATCAAAACCCCTTTGCTCTGGGGAGTTTTATGTAAGGATTCTACACTTCTCCTCCCCCTTTTCTACATCCCTCCTGCCAGCCATCAATAACACCCATTAATTTATAGATTCATAGATTAAGGCCAGAAAGGATTATTGTGATCATCTAGTAAGACTTCCTGAATAATATAACTACAGTGGGAATTATTTTTATCCTGTGTAAAAGCATGTGTAAAGGGGGTGTACAGAGATATAGCTTTCAAAATTTCAGCTCTCCGTTACAGATTGGAGCCAGCAGTGGAATCTGGATCTAATTTTGCATTCCAGACTTTACAAAATTCCAATGTGTTCAGCTCTGAGTCCCATTTCTCATAAAGCTTGCACGTGTACTACATACAATAAAACTATATTTAAAATATTATTAGGTTGTAAAGTCAAGCACTTAGAAATTAGGAAACGCCAGATTTACGTTTGCCTCTGCAACCTTAATTCTGCCCTCTTGTGCATCCATCTTCCATCCTGAGATATTGGGCAGTAAACCTGTCACTGGTCTAGGAATGAATATTGTCCATTTGGCATCTCAGACCAGCATTACTTTGAGAGGAAGTTCCACATTTGGGATGTGGGTGCTGTGGAAGAAAACATTTCCTTATCAGTTTGTTTTAAAAGAAAACTGATAGCTGTTTGAAGCAGCTCAGACATTTGGAATGTTAGAACCAATCCAGTTGGAGAAAAATTAACAGGCAGAGGGCAGGTACCATGGTCTAAGACTCACAATGTATAACATGGCTGTGGAATTTATTACATGGACAGCACCATCATATATGTATAACACATACACCCTCTCTGCAGAATCAGGGCAGGAGATATTTGTGCAGATGGTTATCCTGTCTATAAGGAAGAGCATGTATAATTCTTGCTCCAGAAAAAAAAAGTGTAGTGTTGGCCATATAGAAAAAAGGACAATGATTCTAGAAGATATAATGGTTCTGTGCAATATAAATAATCATAACTAGATGGAAACTACTGACTCTGACCTAATTCCCATGAACTATATAGCAAAGTTTATAAGCTTTCCCCTTCATTCCATGACTATGGGCTGAATTTCCAGCCATATAAAACTCACATTTTTCACAGCCTGATGCGGAGCTTTTCCTATTATTCAGATGCCTTTGAATAAGAATTGTTACGTGGACCAAATTACAAGAAATTCTTTTTGGCATCACAAACCCTTTGAATACATGTCTAAAGCAATCCAATTTTCAAGCAGAATCCACAGAGGGCAATTTTTGACCTGTGCTAAAAAATTAACTTTGAACGGTGCCCCAAGTCTTTTAGCAAAAGCTTTGAAGATTCCCAGCACCCTTATGGAAAACATTCTAAATAATGTTACTGGCTTCACCGATGCTAATATGAAAGAAGCAGAGAAGAAATCCCTTACCCCGCATTAACAATTATAGTACTGAAAATTAGCACCACTCCTGACAAAAGTTTGCTCTTACAATGGACATGGGACTTTGCTATTTTACACAGAATAAAGGTTAAATATGTATATGGAAGTAGCAATGGGTGGAGGGGTAAAGGTCAGAGAATGGGGGAAGTAGAGATGTAGTCTATAGCATTTGGCCAGCAGTTCCTTTCAATTCTCTTATTATGTATAGAGACCAAAAGTGACCCTGAATGCTTTATCCTCACATTGGCTAGTAGAGTGCAGTTTCACAATCCTGCTCTTCTTCCAACCCCACTAAAGTCTTGATCACACCCCAAGTATTACAACCACAGCAGCAGTGAACCGAACTCTTCATCCCAAACTCAGTTCTCAGTGCCACACCCCCATCCCTAGTCTTGGTCCCAGGCAATAAACATTACTAGTTAGTGGGCCTCAGTGTACATTTCTGCAGTAACCAGCAGCAGCCACCGCAGAAATGCAAATCCCAGCACTGATCTGAAAGGACAGAGACAACAGCACAATCAGACACTGCCCTTAGCTTCAAATCACTTCCAATACATGGCACAGAAGTTAAGAGACTGCAGGGATTCAATATTTCCATCCATTATAGATTATACTGTTGGCTACAGGGGAAAGTATAAAAACTGGAACCCACACCTTAAAACTGGTTATTTCCGATGCAGCCAAAAGAAAACACCACACACAGCATGTCACACCTTAAGTGCAAGCTACCAGCCCTACCCTCCAAACACACACAAGGGAATGGGATACAGTGAGACAAGGACACACCTTACAGGATAGAAAGGTTCTGGATCACATTAAGAGTTTTGCATGTAGTCAGTTACCTATTCTGCCATTTCCATCCAAAAGTGAATAGGCCTGGAAGGTGGTTACAGGAAGAGAAAATTTGATTCTCTTCCTCAGGCCACAGTCTCAGTCTGTTTAGTCTCATCACTCTTAGGAGGCAATTTAGTAACATTACATTTGAAGCCTGCTGCTAATGGAGAAAAGGGGGAAAGAGATAAAAGGTTCAAGAGAAACAGGAGAGAGACTATTTTCCAAATATGGTATCCATCAGTGCCCTGAGCTCCCTACATCTTTCCCTATGTAATCAACAGGGTAATAAACCTACCAATTCTCTCTCTAGCCCACCAACACAAGTTAACACCTTGCCCTCTGTAAGGAGCAGTGTAGCTAATTATAAACACACTGTGCTTTCCCACATCAAAACGCCCCTCCACAGCAAGATGCCTCCCATCCTTGCCCACAGTACCGCAACCACCAGGCAGATAGAAAGATAGCAAAAGGAAGATAGCCCAGCTGGAGAAACCCTGCAGGGAGTGGAAGTAGCAGAGGAAGAGACAGGTTGCTGCCTGATCCCCAAGTGGCAGGGTTGGGTTTACACTGAGCCAGGTGGGGGCAGCATGGTGTTTTTTGAAGGCTCTGTCCTAGGGAAATCCCACCCATTACCCCCTCCTGTAACGGGCGCGGTTTTAAGGCCCCCAGAGGAATCCCTTCCTAAAATGTGGTGGGTTTTCCAATGGCAAGATCTCCCCTCTTCTAACACGCCCCATCGGAGGGGTGGGAGCTCTTCTTCCCCTGCGTGGGGTGGGGGGGAGCGAGACCCTCCTCGCCTCTCCTGGGTGTGGGTCTCCTCAGGTAGGCGTCTCCCGCAGGGAAGGGAGGCGGTTCCCGTGGATGGGAGAGAAGGAAGTTCAGGGCCGTGAGGGGAAGGGGTGGGGGTTCTGCAGGGCATGACCCGCGGCCAGTCTCTGGGAAGGGACCCCTCGGGGCTCGGTCAGTGTGGCCGAGCCGAGCCCCGCACCGTTCCCAGAGCCGCTGCAGCCCAGCCGCGCCGCTGCCTTGTCCGCTTTCACCGCCAGGACCGATCCCCCCGCCCAGAATGAATGAATGAATGACGGGCGGCTGCTTACTTGAGCATGGCCTCTTCCTTCTCTTCCTCTTCTTTCTGCCGGTCCATCACTGCCATAATGATGTTCCTCTCCTCCTCTGTCAGGTGGCTCAGGTCGGGCAGCTCCTGCATCGGGGGAGGCACCGTGGGTGGGCGAGGGCCGCGGGGCCCCACCGAAGAAGACATTTTTATTTCTGCCTTTTCCCTTACACCTTCTACCTTAGCAAGGCAAAGCCAATCACGCCTCTCCGCCTCCTCCCTTCACAGTGGAGTCCTCTGCTCATCGGCAGCAGCCAGCAGCTCTCCGGCGGCAGCAGCAGAGGAGGCGGAGACCCAGCCTTTCATGGTTGCTTGCATCCACCCCAGCCCGGCTGCTGCTGCTCCCTTTGTTTGCCCAGCTCTAGGAAGGTTTGGGGCTGCCCTCCTGCCTCTTGCATCCCATCCTCCCGGGAGGGCGGGGGGAGAGAGGGCTCGGGATTACAGCTAGTAGGCTGTGTGCACAGGCAGGCTGGATGCACAGAGCTGGAAGAGAAGGGCGGATGCTGCTGCTGCTAGCTTTGAGGAGGGAGGGGGGAGTTGGGTGTCAGTTAGGCGGAGTCCAAGCCGCTCCGCTCCTGGAAGCTCTCCTGCTGTCTCACACTGAGCACCACCAGCTGTGGAGTCCATGAACCTGAGCCACCCACACCCCAGGCATCCCCCTGACTTGTCCTCCGGCCACATGTTTGCCAGAGTTGCTACTGGGATGATATTTCCCCCTCTGATCTTTCTCAGCTCTCTTTACCTCGATTAATGGCCATGCACCTTGCCAGTCTCCTCAGCTGGTGCCCTGCCCCCGGCCTACCTTGTGCAGGGTCCACCTGCACTTTATCCCGCTCTGCCTAAGCTTTCTCACTGCAAACCAGTGTGACAGGCTATCACCTGGCTCCCCCACTACAGGTCAGCACCATGTCCTGGAGCTCCCCAACCTTGGGCTGGTGCCAGGCACTCTCCATCACTTTGTTGGACACACTCCCCAGTCTCCCCTGACCACACACTGGCCCTACACACATGCTGACCAGATTCCCATGACTTAGGCTAAGGACGCAGGTACTCCACCTGGGTCCCTGCTTTGACCCAGTCCTGTATTTACTATGCCAGTCTTTTCTTGGCTTCCCTGCTTTCAACAGAACTTGTAGATATTTTCCTTGGGCTCCTAAATTGCAGACTGGCACTACATGAACTCTAACCCTTCTTCCCCTGCACTTGATGTAGGTTTTATGCTCTCACTGGTTGCCCCATCTTGAGCCAGAGCAGAGCATGCACCACACTTTCCCTATTCCCCCTTACTTCAGACTAGCCCCACACATTCTTCCTATTTTCTCCTACTTGGGCCTTCCAAAACCAAGCTTGAAATATGTGATAGTTCAAACTCTTCATAAACAAACCGAATTGTTTCTTAACATGAAGGGCCTCCCTACAACTATGCAAATTCTAAATGGTAATGAAGGGCAACTGCTCCTCCTCCCTGAGATATTACTGCAGGGATCAGTTCTGTCACATCAGTGTAAAAGCAATAAGAGATGTTGATTAGCAAACCAAATCTATAAGGATGCACCCAACTCGGTGTCCTCCTCATCCAGCACACAGCCTGCTGTCTCCCAGCAATCCCAGTATATAAAAGAAGTTGGAACATGATTGAAGGACAGAACACTCAGGACAGCTGGTAATTATCCCCCATAGTTGAAGGCATAGGCCCACCAATGAGCCAGGTAATGTCTAAGCTCAGGGTCCTGCTAGATTCATTATCACTCCTGGTCACCCAAATAGTAACAGTCACCAAAACAAAACCGTATTCCATCTTTCACTAGCAAGGAAACATCATCCTTTCTTCTCAAAGGCTAAGCCTTAGTAATCCATTCATTCATCACCTCCAGACTGGAGTACAGCAACAAACTCTACTTGGGGCTGACTACAAAGGCCAGAAGGAAGCTACTGCTGCTAGGGTGACCAGTCAGCAAGTGTGAAAAATCCGGACGGAGGTGGGGGGGTAATAGGAGCCTATACAAGAAAAAGACCCCAAAATCAGGACTGTCCCTATAAAAATGGGACATCTGGTCACCCTAACTGCTGCTGCTGTTCCACCATGCAGAAACTCACCATCTGGGCAGGCCAGGCCAAAGAGAGTCCTCTGCAATCTCTAAGCCTTCAATAAGCTTGGCCCAAGAATAGCTTCTCACTCTGTACCATGCTGCTTAAGCTATTCTTGATGAGACAGACACCAAAGTTAGACTGTAGGGAACCAGACACAGGGCTTTGTCAGTAGACAGTCCAGAGCTATAGAACTCTCATATACCATAGTGATGAGTGCATAAAAGGAATTCACCAGGTCCCTCCTGCTGAAGTAACTCCCCACAAGTATAGAAATAGAATGGTTGGCACAAGTAGGCCTGTCAATACCTCTGAATAACACATCAGATGCAATCATAGCCCACCTTATCTTACCAGACTTGTTTGTGTATACAGGAGAACAAACAGCGACTGGCAAGCTGAGAGGAATTATGGTTGAATTTTGTATATTGTTCAAATAAATATATCAGTAACATCAGTTCTTATATATCATCATGTACCATAAAAATTTGGTATTTAAATGTAAATAAAAGAAATTGAATACGTTTTAATAATAAATACAATCAATGTCTGTCTCAAGTTATTCTGTCTTCCTTCCTTTTGATTTTCTCTTTTCTTTTTGTGTTCATTTGTTCTTTTTTCTTTTTGAAATCTAATGTCTTTATTAGTGACAACACAGAAAGTATAGAATTTATTACTAATGTTGTTATATACATCCCAATATAGGTCTAATTTAGCCCTTAGCTCTAAAGAATATGTCAAACAGAAGATACTACTTCTGTGTTTCACACAGAAAAGATAGCAGTTGAGTAACAACAGCTAATTATCTAGACAGCCACAAACTCTTGCTAAATTGTGAAATTACTCCTTCTTTTATTGTCTTTTTTATATGTTTCAGCCTGTAAGTTAATAATCGACATACAACAGATCAAGCTATAATATTTGATACAGTATTACAAGGAATACTAGAAATCTAAAAGGTGGCAATTAAGATTTTAAAAACTATATACAAAATTGTCAGTATCTAAAGCACTCTGTAACAAACACCTTGTAGTATGAAGAAGTTTCATTGCCAAAGCAACCTGGCCCCAAAGAGTATTGCAGACAGTTTAGACCATGCTGTCTATTTTAAATAGAAATATGATCGATGACTATAATTAACCTTTAACAAATGTACATATAACAAGTTATTTGTTTTATGTTAAACAAGCTGATAGATTCAAATGGTATGTTGAGAGACCAATATGGAAGGAAAATCCTTTAAGGTGAGTCCAACCAACATATTGCAAGGATATAAACCACTGTTGTATTGTTTCATTAATTGTTATATCCCATTCGTAACAGACCAAACAAACTAGTCAAATGTCTTCATATTGCTGCATGATAAACTACTAGACAAAGACAGAGCCATCAAGAAGTGCAAGGGCTGCTCCAGCCTCCTCCCAATGGGGGAGTGGAGGTGGGCTAGACAGAAAATTGGGAAAACTGCACTATGCATCTTGTAGCCCAGTGGGCCAGCTTACCGGTATTATATTCATTGCTTTGTTATTCTGCTTTATTATATTTAGTAGTAATGCAAGGAACCTACAGGCTTTATCCTGTAAGATTTGGCTTCAGTAGATAGTGTGAGGCTTGAAGCCTATAACCTTTGGCATTGATAAACTTAAGTAATTCATAAGTTATAGGGAACTGAAAGTAGAATGCAAGATAAGGGGGACTTTTGTCCAGAATACTGACATCAGCCACCCACAGAACACAGCTGACCCCAGTACAGAACATAGCTGACACCAGCATCTCGAAAGTTCTGGACACGACCTCTGATCGCAAAGCTGCCATGACAGCAAATTGACGTGTATGTTAATAGGGGAACATCAGACATATACTAACCTATAGAATAACGACACCTTAAAGGGAGAAAATACAAATAAGGACCTCTATTGAATATGCATTCGTCATGGCAGCGTCAGCGTAACCTACTATAAAAGTAACATCCCAGGGGCAGCAGATAGGTTGGAGAAATGTAGACCTTGGGAGGGTCCAGAATGATGGTCACTGGGGAAGATGAGGACGATGCTGGTGATGAGAAAGATAATCGTTAAGTATGAAAGATAAGGGTGTAAGTATGGACATCCAAATATACTTTCTGTATTATCTCTATCTGCTTTGTTAAGTTTAAGTGTGTGTATAATCTTTGCTAAATTATTAATAAATCATATATTTATATATAGAAAGAGTTCCTATAGTGTGAGTGTTGCACCTGTGCACATCGGGGTTCCCAAATTATACAATAATCTTACTGGGCCTGATTTTGGGACATAAACCTGTTAATCCTCAAATTACAATTATATATACACCCAATTTTGGGTCAGGCTTCAATCTTGTGGGCAAATATACTTATTTATTTTTTAACAATACACATTTAAACATGTGTTTTATCTCCATTATCCTCAAAAGGATAATAAAAATATATACAGACAGATTGGTTTTAAACCTCATCAATGGCAGCTCACTGGTGCAACATTTATTCACAGAAAAGTCAAAAGTCAATAAATAAACTAATACTACTACTAACAAATGCAAACTTCTGGAAAAAATACTTGTTAAATAATACTAGTAGCTAATTACTTTAAATCAGAGAATGTACTGTATTATATTTTAAAATTAGCCATTTGAACATAGCAAAGTAAGATATTTGGAAGATTTGGGAACTCAGAGCCATAATACAACAACTCACATTGTGATCAATCTGGAGCAATGGGCTTCAGTGCTAGAGAGGTTTAACTGAGCACAGGTGCTGTAGGAGGCATTACTGGATACTTCTGCTCTGTCCTTAACAGCAGCTGGAGGAGGTGGTAGGCAGGAAGGGGGACGGATGCTGTGTCTATGCGACTCCTGCGCCCCAGCCAGTTTGCAAACCCAAGTGTCCACAGCCTGGGCCAGAGCATGTGCATCTGCAGCAGGCACTTGGCAGGAAGCCACTAGCTAGGGATGTGAATCAGTCAGGGAGGAAGCCGGGACTTCATTTCAGATTTTGCTGGGGGAGGCAACTTTAACTGTGATTCCAGGGACTACTTAGGCACCTGAAAATGCTAGTTATTTTGCAGATAACTTTGAAATTAGATACAGTGCTCCTGTCAGCTAAATTTTATATACACACACACACATACATATACATATATATAAATACATACACATTAATTAAAGCCATATTTTAAGTTTATATGTAAGTTTAGAACAACCAGGAGATAAACAGCATGATATTTCCAATTCCAAACCTTGAGGTATCAGTTTTGGAGTCTTAACACAAATATCAGAATTGCAGGTTTGATACTTTGTACACTATCTTTAGCAGAGGGAAATAAAAATAAATAAAACCTGCTTACTTTCTCTAACAGACACACTCTGTGTTACTATCATTATCTACTCTATTTTAGTCAATTGTT